TTTATTATGAGTTTATGACCAGATGAAAGGAATGTCAGGGGAAAGTTAAACCACAGAAGTGGTTGAAATTCTAAAAGGAACATTTACTCCCACTCTTTCTTGCACAGAATTATCTCCTGTCAAAACTGTAAGATATGTAAAAATAAATAGGCACTAGAGGCCATAGCTTGGACAACACACAACAAAAGAACAAAACTAAGAGTAACAAGCAACAGAAAGTCCTGTGGTACCTTTAAGACTAACAGATGTATTGGAGCATAAGCTTTCGTGGGTGAATACCCACTTCGTCAGAAGCATGCGAATACCCACTTTGTCAGAATACCCACGAAAGCTTATGCTCCAATACATCTGTTAGTCTTAAAGGTGCCACAGGACTCTCTGTTGCTTTTTACAGATCCAGACTAACACGGCTACCCTCTGATACAAAACTAAGAGTAAAATTCATATGATGGGTAAAAGCATCAATGCATAAAAAAGTAACAATTTCACACTTCCTACGGCCAACCTGCACTAAAAAACCATTCTTTATTCAAGTTTACCACAAGCTGAAATCTACACTTTTTTACCAAGTCTGGAGAAACCTTGAGACAAGGGGAATAAAACCTGATACCATATGAATCTTTTCTAGAAAGGTGCCTGAAACCAAAGCAAATACACAAAGATGAAATACTTCAATAATCTGTAAAAGGAGACAATGATGGGGACAAAAAACCACTGGGAAGCTGAATCATCTGACATGACATGCCCTGTCCAGCTTTGGAGACACTAGACAACATAGAAAAAATCCTTATCCTGAAAAAGAAAAACCATGCCCCATTTAAAAGTTTCAGAATAGCAGGTTATTTCTCCAGCACGTCACATTAAAGATTTAAGCAGGAGTAGAAGTGTAAAGGGTGGGGGATGGGTGTTGTGCCACATTTCGATCCACACTACAGCCCCAGTCCTGTAAACTGTCCCACATAGGGGCACTCCTGTGCTCATACAGAGCCCTGCTGACCTCATCAGGTACTTGCCTAAATGAATCAGTTGCAAGAATGGGTGCTATGTTTGTTCACTTCAAATCAAGGAGGAGGAGGGTTTTTATTGCTTTTATGGACTTTTTTCCCCCAATCTTTAAAAAACATTTCAAACACTAGCGTTTTAAATAGAATTTCATAGTTTGTGCAAATTTCCTTAATCATAGGCAGCCACTCAGGCTCCTGTCCCACTACAGCTGTGTACAATCTCATACCATTAAAGCAGAGCAGGAGCTGTTGGAAGATATCAGCTGTTCAAAGAGAGGAAAAGAACTCTGACCTCCAATCTTTGCGCTTAAGTAAGGGATGATTTTTCTAATGTCCACGTATTGGTAATTTTAAGTATCAGCATATCTTGTAAGAATTTACTATCTTCAATAGCTTGATATAAGTCTGTATATCTTTAAATATACAACAGCGTTTGAAGTTGCCATTGTGTTTGTGTTCTAATATTGAATTAAAAAAAAAAAAAATGGGCAGCCAGCTATAACCTGGTGCTATCTTTCATCCTGTCTCTAATCCCTCCAGCAGGAGACCTGCTTCCCTCTCAGCACCAGCTCTTACACTTTCCTGTGTCCAAAAAGAGGGAACCAGATAACAGTTCCTTATTACTTCCTTTCCCTCCTCCAATCCCTAGAAAATGCCCTGGGCAGACTGAGCACCTCACATTCGTTGTTTATCTTCTCTCAGCTGCCTGCTTTACCCTCCCACACTGCCCAGGTTTACTCTGTGTACTGGGTTCCTCCCCATGCTGACTGCTGCTTCCTGGATAGGAGAAGTATTTTATTATGCTTTCCATTTAACTTGCTTGAAGCTTCAAAAGGAAGCTGAAACAGACAAAACCTCTCTAAATCGCCGTGACACAAGTAAGGAGATTGGATTTTATTCTTGTATGTGACACTTTGGTTAAGTCAAGTCATGTATCTGCTCCGTGCCTCGGTTTCTTTTTCTATAAAATGGCAACAGTACCAGCCTCACACTGGTGTTTCAAGGCTTAATTCATTCATGTTTGCAAAACATTTTAATATTCTTAAATGGAAGGGGACGTAGAACTGCACAGTATCATCATCAGAATGGAATGCACCACACAAGAGCAGTATCAAAAAGTTCATGTGTGCAGAAAAACACCGTCCATGGAATTAACTTTTTACTCGTCCAACCACGGGGTGAGGGATAGCTCAGTGGTTTGAGCATTGGCCTGCTAAACCCAGGGTTATGAGTTCAATCCTTGAGGGGGCTATTTAGGGATCTGGGGCAAAAATCTGTTTGGGGATTGGTCCTGCTTTGAGCAGGAGGTTGGACTAGATGACCTCCTGAGACCCCTTCCAACCCTGATATTCTATGGTATGTCTACACTGCAATTAGAACCCCACGGCTGGCCCATGCCAGCTGACTCAGTCTAAGGGGCTGTTTAACTGCAGTGTAGATATTTGGGCTCGGGCTGGAGCCCAGGCTCTAGGACCACTGCGAGGTGGAAGGGTGCTGGAGCTTAAACAGCCCCTTAGCCAGAGCCCTGCTAACCCGAGTCAGCTGGCACGGGCCAGCCATGGGTTTTTAATTGAAGTGTACACATGCCCACAGATAACCGTTAGAGGACAAGTTTGGCGACGGAGAACAGTTTCCAGTTCGCCCCTCTCAAGAAACCAGAACTACTCTTTAAATGTAGGTGTGAAGATGACAGTTTGAATGTGACATATTCGCAGCTCAACTACATGTCTTGCACTTGCACAATAAAAGTTGCTGATTGGTGGCTGCTTTTCTAATCGTTCCCTGTTTTACTAAGAGAAGGCAGACAACTTCAATAGGTCTTCTATATTTAATCAGCTCCCTGTTTCTACATCAGCATGATGTAACTGCAAATCTCACAGACTACTCTGGATTCAAGGTTGTTTCAGACATCTATTTTCTCTGAAGTCAGACACCAAAATACCTCCCTAATGAAAATGCTTGTTCCACTGGGTATGCATATGTGCATAGTGGGAGGTTGGTATAATGAATTAAAGCCTGCTATAACATGTATTATTTCCTGGATTGTTACTGAAGGAAATAGATCAGCTTTCAATTTATAATTTTCACTTAGAATTAAAAATCCAAAGAGTTGCCAGGTAAGTGATGAGAAAAGGTTTTTTTCGCACCATATGCTGATGTAGTTCAAGTGTATTTTGGGGGGGAAGAAACACTTGGGCTCAAAGAAAGTGGAAGGAAAACAGACATTGCCCATCCTGATGCTTAAACGCTCACTAGAAACAGTTGCTGGCATGGTGAGAAACATTCGAAAGCCATAGAGGAGGTCTGGCACTTAGCCAACCCATGCCAGAAGGTGAGGTTTATTGAAGTGGCAGCAATTTGGGACACAAATGATAAAGGGAACAAAAATAGTGTGGGGCTGTATCTGGTGCCTTTCATATCCCAAGTACATTACAGTTAGATACTGGTAGTACAGCTGCTGAGTAAATTAACATGCCACCCAGCATGCACTCACCAACAGCTCACAAATAGCACTGACATACGAACCTGTTTTATTTTGAGAAGTAGCATAGGCCGCAACATCTCAGATATGTTCTACTCTTTTAATTCTTTTTCAGTCATCAGCAAGGGGCAAAGGCAACACCTCACATTAGCATCTAATCTGAAGGTTACTGCTAACAGTTCAGCCGAATCCCTTATTCGATTATGCACAGAGCTTGGATCTAAATCCCAATGTGGAACTTGGAGCAACAAGCTCCTTTCTTTGCCCAGATTCACTCAAACTGCCAGTGTGGACCCAGACTGACAGGGTGTTTTCACACGAGAATATGGGGAGAGGATAAACTATTACTGTCACAAATTATGTGGGAGTAGAGCTATTTCCAAAGATGATGTTTACTAACGACAGGTTGTCAAAGTTAATTAAATTCCTACGTACTGATTTCATCGGACAGCCTAACCCTATCGTTTACAAGGTGAATTATGGCTTTTAATTGTTCCAGTTTTACCTGTTAATGAAAATGCATGGTGCCATTAGTAAGGCCTGTCAGCTACATTTATGTGCAAAGAAATGATCCGACTCTGCTCTGGTGATCTAATCCTGTCCATGAAAACAGCCTAAATGTCACTTTCAAGTACAGTAAATAACTATCCCTAAAGACAAAGAGGACAGATGGGAATGCGCTCAGAACAGAGCAACAAATCACAGAATCAAGAAAAATTAAATATTCCAGGTTTAGGGGAAAGAGTGCCATTAAAATTCTACAGAACAGAAACAAGTTTGTCTCCTGAAAGAACTAATCAAATATTTATCATCTTCTGCTCATGAGAGTAATAAATAAATAAATAAAAATCAGTGGAGATACTGATTATGCTCTTTTCATTGTGAGGCTCTCTCAGTTTCGGGACTTACCCACCATTTATCTTTATTTGTTTCTCATTATTGATAGCCGCTTGAAGCGGCAGTACTAGGTAGTGACTTTCCAACACCTTTTCCAACATTCCAGTAGAGGATTTCTAAGCAGTAAGGTACAAATCCAACTATCGCTCCTTTTGCAATAGTCCTCAAACGTCACCTCTATCAATAGTAGAGAAGCGACCTAAGTCTCTTTTATGCGAAGTAATAAAATCTAGAAAATGTTTGCACCGCTATTGCATTTGCCCATGAAAATGGCTGACTCCACAGTGAAGCCTCACACAGATTTTTAACTACCAAGACTAGTTAAAACCTCAAGAATACTATGTTCTAACACTCTGAACTGTATAACCTCCTACGGCAAGCATTAATTTGAAACAGGTGTTACAGTAGACACATGAAACTACATATGACTACTGCTAAAAAGACATCTACAGAAACGGACAAGACAGAGAGAGATGTGCTTAAAATTTAAGAAAATCAAAAGAAAAACAAAATTAAGATGATACACAAAACAAGAGGAAAACACTACAGTACAAAAGCTGTGCCTCCTCCCTCTTCAAAACAAGACAAGCACTGCCATGAAGAGAATGAATAGTTACCTGCATCCATATCTGCAAAGAATGGAACAGCCAGTAAGGAAAAGAAGGAACCAGAAATTCAGTGTCTCAGAGTTGGATTTAAAGTTCATAAGGAGAATAAATAAAAATCAAGAAAATATTTTTAGTGAAAAATATACCTCAATTATGTGCTACGATGATATACATGAACTCAAACCGTAAAAGTGACTAAGCTTAAATTAAAATCACAAATACAATGAAAGTTTTGAACTACATATTAAACTGTAGCATAAAACTAGAATTAAAAAAAAAATTGTTCTTCTCCAGGCCCAAAAATTAGTGTTCTAAAAAATAATGAAGCAAATTCATAACACACAAGTTTTATTTGAAAATCTTTACTGTCTCTGGTACAACAAACTGAAGGGCCCAATCCTGTAAATATCCAATACCAAGAGTAGTAGTTATTGCCTTCAGCAGATAATTGGAATTAATGGAAGTACTCATAGTAGTAAGTGCTACATTGGGTAGTGTTTGCATTTATGAAACTGAGATTAAGAACATTTCCCATATGCACAAATACTTCATGGGAAAGAATTTTAAAATGTTAAGATATTACAAAAAAAGAGGTATACAATTGTTCTCGTTGCTGCTACTTATCTCCACTATGACAAATGTTAAAAGGAAACCTACTTTATTTTTTATCAACATTGCACAGCAACCAATGATGATTTTTTTTTACTGTACTATTTCTGTATGATATATAAAAATAGCAATTAACAGTGCATTGCATGAAAGCAAAAACTAAAATCAGCATGCTTTTAGTCATCCGCATATCCACTTACCTTCAGGTGATTCCTCCTGGACATATGTGCCAGTCAGATACCGGTGAACAAGTGCAGACTTGCCACTAGCTAAATTCCCCACAATTCCCTGGAATGAAAAGATGATACACATTGAGCCATAATCAAATCTTCTGATATTTAAAAAATATAACAAATAGTATGATTTTATTTAAACAAAAAACCTGTCAATTCTCCAAAAGAAGATTTAATATTTTAACCTCTATGTTTAGGAGAAATACTATTTATAAGAAAAACAAGCAATGTATCTCAGAACACACAAATTACTAATACCCCCAAAAAAATTCATTGTGAGAGCACACCGCATACACAGCGCAAAAGGAATGCCATGAGAAGTGAAGCTATTTACAGTCCTTTCCCTCTACTCCTCCTCAGGCACACACATCACCACTACCGTACATTATATACAATAATGCACTGCCGAGGATGCCAGACTTCCAGAACACTCTTTATTCAACTGCACACCAAGACTGAGTAAAAGATGAAGGAACATTTATTCTATCCTTTATGCTTTTTTAAAAAAAATTCAACTTGTCTAAAGCTTTCATACCATGTTGGATTATTTTCTCCATTAACATCAATTATCCCAGGTAGCAATTCTGGTGTAACTGCTGCTGCAGAGTCAGCAGAAGGAACATTATTGTTATGAGTCACACAAAGGAAAAAAAAATTTGTTAAAAACCTGCAAGTAAGTGGCAGTTACAATTGCTCTGTTTGTTTCACCAAATTCTTGCTTTAAACCACCCCTTTGGTAGCCCATTTACTTCACTTTCTGATATGCTGTCCCCTACACTCGGAAGAAGCACCCTCTTGTGCATTTGTCAATCATTCCCTTGTATTCAAATTCCTCCTTAATATACAGTTCTGAAAGTATTTACTTGATCATACCTTTTTGAAAAGGTGGAATACTATACATGATTTCAAGACCACACCTTTCCCTGGTTGTCCATTGTGAGTCTCAACTGTTTTATCATCCATCTAGTTCAGTACGTAAGCTTCTGGGTCAGTGACTGTGTGCCACTGTGCACTTTTGATCTCTGAACACAATAAAGGTGTTCAATGAACACATAATAAATTAATAGACATTCTATCCATTTCATGGGATCCTTCTTATCGGCATGCTGAACTAAGGTGGTCTTCCTAATAAAGTTTCTTCAAAACAGTAGGTAGGATGCCAAACAATCCCAAAGTGACAGAGTTTGGGGAGCAGTGGGTTTGGGGAAAGCCTTATGATCCTGGATCTATTCTCCCCCACTGCAAACATACTCCAGTAAAGAACTAGGTGAAGGTAGCTTCTTGAAAGTTGCTCACTCTCCTTCCATACTCCAGAGATTGCCAATAATGCAGCTGTGGAAGTATCTTAAGCATAGAGCTCATAATCCAAGCTCATGGAGCCAGCCCTTGCCCAACAGACCATAGGTGCAGGGAGTGATGTGGACTATAAGGAGAGGAAAACATGAATAAAAGCAGAAAGGAATTTAAAATAGATAATAAGGAGGGCAAGAACGAAAGAAAGAAAAAAGAAGCAGGAGAGAAAGGGGATCAGACCTACTGCATTGGGACACAGTGAAAACAAGCAGCTTGGGAGTCACCTGCAGCAAAAGAAACTAACAGGATTATGTCAAGGGAAATGCCACTGTATTTACAAGCGTAGGTGCTACCAACCTAAGCAACAGACCAAAATAAATCAATCCCAAGTAAAGCTGGAGCAAAGTGGTAGTAGGTAGGCCATCTGTTCAGTAGGGTTCTGTGTAAGCTGACTTTGAAGAGTGTTTAAATGGAGCACACCGGAAGCTTTTAATCTAATTTTCACCCAAGAGGAATTACTGAGTACGCTGGTATATGCTGAAACATCTACATCTAAAAATAAGTGTGAGGTAAGATTCTTGACAAGTTCAGTCATTTAGAGAGCTTGGATTTGCCTCATTCTCAAACACCAGCTAAACAAAAGGATGCGCTCTGTAACCAATGACAGAAGCATGACATGGCTTCAACTGAAGACAAAAACGTCTACAGGTTACTATGCCACTGCTAGAGGTAAAAGCTGAAACCCTGCTAAGACTGATGGGACATGCCAATTCATTTGGAAGATTCCCCTCCTTCCCCCCCCAAGCATATAAGACTGCTACATAATTGTGACAGGTTTCAGAGTGGTAGCCGTGTTAGTCTGTATCAGCAAAAAGGAGTACTTGTGGCACCTTAGAGACTAACAAATGTATTTGAGCATAAGTTTCGTGGGCTAAAACCCACTGCATCGGATGCATGCAGTGGAAAATACAGTAGGAAGATTTTATATATATATATACACACATATATACATACACACACACACACACACACACACATATATACATACACACACACACACACACACACACACCATGAAAAAATGTGTGTTGCCATACCCACTATACCGAGAGTGATAAGTTAAGGTGGGCTATTATCAGCAGGAGAAAAAAAAAAACACCGTTTGTAATGATAATCAGGATGGCCCATTTCCAACAGTTGACAAGAAGGTGTGAGTAACAGTAGGGGGACAGTCTCTACGTAAAAGAATAAATGGACACAAATCAGACGTCAAGAATTATAACGTTCAAAAACCAGTCGGAGAACACTTCAATCTCCCTGGTCACTCGATTACAGACCTAAAAGTCGCAATATTACAACAACAAAAACTTCAAAAACAGACTCCAATGAGAAACTACTGAATTGGAATTAATTTGCAAACTTGACACCATTAAATTAGGCTTGAATAAAGACTGGGAGTGGATGGGTCATTACACAAAGTAAAACTATTTCCCCATGTTTATTTTTTTCCCCTATGTTACTCACATCTTCTTGTCAACTGTTGGAAATGGGCCATCCTGATTATCACTACAAAAGGTTTTTTGTTTTGTTTTTTTTTTCCTCCTGCTGATAATAGCTCACCTTAACTGATCACTCTCGGTATAGTGGGTATGGCAACACCCATTTTTTTCATGTTGTGTGTGTGTGTGTGTATATAATCTTTCTACTGTATTTTCCACTGCATGTATCTGATGAAGTGGGTTTTAGCCCATGAAAGCTTATTCTCAAATAAATTTGTTAGTCTCTAAGGTGCCACAAGTACTCCTCGTTCTTTCTACATAATTGTGTGGCTGCAAACATTTTGGGCTAAACTTTCAAAACTGGTCTCTGAAATTTGCATCCCAGGACCAACCTGCATGAAAACAGACCTTTATGTGAACAAATTGTCTTGACATCTCTAGTTGCATAACTGGCATAGGGTGAATTCGCAGTCTGGCTGAAAACGTGGCCCTCAACATTATTTCTGTAAGTGGAGACTACCTGGTCTGACAAGTGCTGTTTAGCCAGGAGCTCTCTTTTTTAAGCCAGACCTTTTATGGAGATTGGTTTTTTTGGTTGTTTGTTTTTTTAGGGGGTGGGGGGAAATTTGGCAATACATTAGGCCTTGAATAAGAGAGATTGGGTAAGAAAAAGGAGAACAGGATCTCTGAATAAGAGGGTCATCTGTCTGAACAGCACAACTAGCAGGACCATTCTGAAGTGAATGAGAACCTCCTTGTCCCCAGAATTTCCCCAGAATCCCAAGAATCAGAGGAAAGGAAGATATCTGCCTGGCGAAATCAGAGTGGTGGGGGGAGGGCACTGAGCGTTAGTGTCCCGTCTGCTCCCATCCTACCCCCCAAGGAAGAGGGTGAAAGTCCCATGAGGCAAACAGAACAAAATAGGCCTGCCATACAATGGCTAAGGTCTACTCCACAGTCACTGCAGCCCCCCAATGAATTGCTATATCACTTCTGCCACCACAGTGGCAGGCGCTGCTGTCTCATAGCAAGGTAGTCTGTAGTTGAGAACATGAGCAAGTGCGTGTTGATTCTAATGTAGGCTATGCTGGCTGTCAAAAACCTAGAAATCAGTTAGAGGTGGAACTGCCTGCAACTATCAAAAAAGCATGAACTCAGATTCCAGAATGACAGAATAGAAGTACGAAGAAAGGAATTTTATTTTTAGCATGGCTAGATATTTTGTTTGTTTGTTTTTTAATCTACCCAAAGACTTCAAATATTTGAAAAGACATTTTGTTATTTCTCAGGCTATGTCTACATTACCTCCAGATCGACGCTCTGGCCATCGATGCACCGGGGGTCGATTTAGCGGGTCTAGTGAAGACCCGTTAAATCAACAGCACGGTGTTCTCCTGTTGACACCTGTACTCCACCCGGAATGAGAAGAGTAAGTTAAGTCAACAGGAGAGTGTCTCCCATCAACCCAGTGCGGCGTAGACACCCCAGTAAGTCGACCTACAGTAAGTCAACTCCAGATACATTTTACGCAACTCCAGCTATGTGAATCTTAGGTCAACTTACCGCGGTAGTGTAGACATAGCCTTAGTCTGCACATCAGTTCTCCACTGGATGTATTCATGGCCGTTTCTGGATTTCCATTATTATTTTACACCATTTGAAAATCTCTGCTGAGTGCCACACACTATGCACAAAAGATAAGGTACATGCCCTGAAAAGCTCACAACAATTATGCTACAAATTGGTGGAGAAGAGGGCAATGAAACAGCAGGGTGGGACTAGGCAGGAAAGACTGAAATGTCAAGAGTAGGAGGTCACTTTAATGATGTCTGCAACAAATTGAAGTTTATTTCTTTTAAAACATGTATCAACTCCATTGCCATTTGATGCACACAGTTGACCAAGGAAGAAAAGCACAAACAATGTTCTGGTTGTGAGACGTAGCATTATCTTTTGGAAGGGGCCCAGTGAGGAAATGTAATTATGTTCCAACAGTTCATTCAATAATTGTGATATATTTTCCCCATTACGTGTTTTCTTTTTATGTATTTGTTTCAAGTCCTGAGGATTGTGGATCGTGGATCAAAAGTATTATACTTCACAAATGTTATTCATTGCTATATATACTGTTAACGTATAAGATTCTCCAAATCTAACAACATAATGGAGTGCCCATATGCATTTATCATACAAGTCTTCACAGTTCCAATACAGTAACTCCACACTTAAAAGTCGTCCATGTTAATATTGTTTCATTGTTGAT